CTCTGAACTAGAAATTCAGGATGCAGAATTGCAGCGTCTGCAAAAAGGAAAAGGAAAGAAAAAATAGGTAAACGGTCCAGGGAAGACGGGAGCAAGGAGTGTTAATTAAAATCTGAAGGTTAGATGAAGGTGTAATTCAGGATGCCTCAACACTTTTGCTCCTGCGTAAGGAACAACCCAAAGGGTCTTCTCAGGCCCTTTTGTTTTTGTGCAGTAGATGCACTGCTGCCACACACTTGTTCGTGCATTGTTATTTGATTATTGACATAAACCTCCAAAATGTATTTTGTATAAAGGTAAAGGGACCCCTGACCATTAGGTCCAGTTGTGACCAACTGTAGGTTGCGACGCTCATCTCGCTTTATTGGCTGAGGGAGCTAGCGTACAACTTCTGGGTCATGTGGCCAGCATGGTGAACCAGAGCAGTGCACGGAAACGCCGTTTACCTTCCCACTGGAGCGGTACCTATTTATCTACTTGCACTTTGACGTGCTCTTGAACTGCTAGGTTGGCAGCAAGGGGGACTGATCAACAGGAGCTCACCCCGTCGCGGGGATTCGAACCAGCAACCTTCTGATCGGCAAGTCCTAGGCTCTGTGGTTTAACCCACAGCGCCATCCGCGTCCCTTTTGTATTTTGTATAGTTAAGTTTTTACCTCTATCTTCAGTACATTTTCTTTTCCTTTATTGCTATGGCCAGTGGCTGATGCAAATAAGAATTCTTCTGATTCTGATCCTTGTTCCTGCAATACGCAAGTTCTTTTCTTTTGCAGGGATATTGCAATTTCCCAGCATGCTTGGAGAATGCTGTTTCCCTTCTCCTGCTGCTGACAGCACACCCATTGCTATGCGTGGGGTGTGGTGAGGATGTCGTGGACCTGAGATGTCATTATCCTTGAGCAACACAACCCCTCCTCTTCGTCTCCCCCCCCCCCCACGCCATGTCGTGAACTATTGAAAAGTATTAACTCGTTCAGGGGACCATTTGCAAATCCTGTTTGTAAAGAGGGCCACATCCTCCAGCAGTTTCCCCCTCTGTAGATTGGGGTGGGGAGCATTTCCCGAAAACTTCAGGATCCCCACCTCTGTTGTGGAACTCCCCCTTAAAATTGTTGGCATCCGTCTGTCTCGAGAGACCATGGAGTGTGCCTCTGGGGCACAAGCCTAGTCAGTGTGTAGGGAGGTCCTGGGCTGCCCAGATGATAAGAACCCCCTATCAGCCTCGCTGATGTGGTCCAAAGGAAAGCAGAGCAGTATGTTTGCCTGCAGGAGTTGCTGGAATGAGGCGTACAAGGCGCCATCCAACCATCTTAAAGACTCTAAAGAGCCAGTGTGGTGTAGTGGTTAAGAGCGGTAGTCTCGTAATCTGGGGAACCGGGTTCGATTCCCCGCTCCTCCACATGCAGCTGCTGGGTGACCTTGGGCCAGTCACACTTCTCTGAAGTCTCTCAGCCCCATTCACCTCACAGAGTGTTTGTTGTGGGGGAAGAAGGGAAAAGAGAATGTTAGCCGCTTTGAGACTCCTGAAGGGGAGTGAAAGGCGGGATATCAAATCCAAACTCCTCCTCCTCCTCCTCCTCCGCCTCTTCTTCTTCTTCTTCTTCTTCTTCTTCTTCTTCTTCTTCTTCTTCTTCTTCTTCTTCTTCTTCTTCTCCAGATTTGTGTAGGGTTTACACCTCAGCCTTTTCTGTTCCTGAAAACATCCCACAAAGCAGCAGAGGTTTAGGATCAGAGTTTTCCTCCTCCTAGATGGGCTACCTTCTCAGGTTGATGAGCCTCATCTGTCCCTATGTTAAAATAATAATGATGTACAAACTATGGTTGAATCTACACAAAGGAAACAAAAATGCTATAAATAAGAAAGAAATTACGATTGTTACAGTGGTGCCTCAGGTTACATACGCTTCAGGTTACATACGCTTCAGGTTACAGACTCCGCTAACCCAGAAATATTACCTCGGGTTGAGAACTTTACCTCAGGATGAGAACAGAAATGATGCTCCAGCGGCGCAGCTGCAGGAGGCCCCATTAGCTAAAGTGGTGCTTCAGGTTAAGAACAGTTTCAGGTTAAGAACAGACCTCCGGGACGAATTAAGTTCTTAACCCGAGGTACCAATGTAGACTCTCAGCCCAACCTACAATGTTGAGAGATAAGCTCAAGGGACAACATTGCAGTTACTTCATTCTCTCAGCTTCGGCTGAGCCTGTGGCTGGATCTAGACACATTAAAAAAAAACATTTCAGGGAAAGGCGTTGTAAAGCTCATAACAGGAATTCATGTTGCCGAAGGATCAAACTCTACAGCCCCGTCTGATGTCACAGTGTTATAATGCATTAAAAAATACTAATGTAGCTGAGTCCTGCAGTAGAGGTTTAATACCACACTACATCTCAGGGCTGCTGTAAACCACACAATGGTGTTTTACACCTGGGAGATAGCACAGTCAGTAGAGCTTGAGGCTCTTAATCTCAGGGTTGTGGGTTCAAACCCCATGTTGGGTGAAAGATCCCTGCATTGCAGGGGGAGTGGACTACACGACCCTCGTAAATTATATGATTCTGTGTGAAAACAAGCTTTTGGGATTCTGGGGGTGGACCAATGCTTCTTTTTGAAGACTACAAGGTCTACGCAGGCTGAGACCCTACCTGCCCGCGGACTGTCTTGCCAGAGTGGGGCATGCTCTGGTTATCTCCCGCTTGGACTACTGCAATGCGCTCTACGTGGGGCTACCTTTGAAGGTGACCCGGAAACTACAACTAATCCAGAATGTGGCAGCTAGACTGGTGACTGGGGGCGGCCGCCGAGACCACAGAACAACGGTCTTGAAAGACCTACATTGGCTCCCAGTATGTTCCCGAGCACAATTCAAAGTGTTGGTGCTGACCTTTAAAGCCCTAAACGGCCTCGGCCCAGTATACCTGAAGGAGCATCTCCACCCCCATTGTTCTGCCCGGACACGCTGAGGTCCAGCGCCGAGGGCCTTCTGGCAGTTCCCTCATTGCGAGAAACAAAGCTACAGGGAACCAGGCAGAGGGCCTTCTCGGTAGTGGCACCCACCCTGTGGAACGCCCTCCCATCAGATGTCAAAGCGATAAACAACTACCTGACATCTTAAGGCAGCCCTGTTCAGGGAAGTTTTTAATGTGTGACATTTTAGTGTATTTTTGGTCTCTGTGGAAGCCGCCCAGAGTGGCTGGGGAAACCCAGCCAGATGGGCGGGGTACAAATAATAAATTATTATTATTATTATTATTATTATTATTATTATTATTATTATTACATCTAATGCTTTGGATTTTTGCCGTTGCAATCGTGGCCCATCCTAAATATGATTATACCTTCTGGGTTCCTGCCCTTGCTGGTGTTTGGCATTCTTTATCTGCCACTAAAGAAGATGGATTAGTCGAAACTCATCTGGCTGCAGATAATTGGCTTTGGGGAAATATTTGTTTCATGCAACTGCACATGTTATTTTATTTTAATTGATTTTTATATCCACTTTGTTCAGGGCCTTTGCATATGAAGATGAATCTATTGGCCACTGGGCTCTGATCAATTTTTTTAAAAAAAATCATTTCAAAGTTTTGTTTGTGTAATAGATTTCTATAATTCATGGGCTACCTTCGCTTTTTGTGTGTGTTCACAATGTATTGGTTGAGGAACCTATTCTCCTCAGCCACAGATCTGAATTTTCTACACTCTGGCAAATCTTCTGTCCCTTAAGCCAGTCTTTTTCCACCAAGAGGTTTCTGACATTTCTCTCACTGGTGACAAGCAGTCTCTCTCTTTGCTAGTGTAATATTCTGCAGAGGGTAATGTTGATCCGGCGGCTGGAGTAATGTTACAAGACTTGCTAGGATGAGCTCCAGATTTAGAGCAGACAGGAGTTTATGGCCCTCTCTGGGGGCTACAAGAAAGGTCTCTTCTCCCCCCCCCCCCCGGTCCGCCCTTCTCCAGAACTGTTGCTTTCAGCACAAAAATTGTGTGTTGTCCTCTATGGGGTTTGTGGATCAAGACCTTTTAGACAGGCCAATGGCTCAGTTCAAACAGTTGGTAAAGGGTAAAGGGACCCCTGACCATTAGGTCCAGTCGTGGCCGACTCTGGGGTTGCGGTGCTCATCTTGCTTTATTGGCTAAGGGAGCTGGCGTACAGTTTCCGGGTCATGTGGCCAGCATGACTAAGCCGCTTCTGGCGAACCAGAGTAGCACACGAAACACTGTTTACCTTCCCGCTGGAGTGGTACCTATTTATCTACTTGCACTTTGATGTGCTTTCGAACTGCTAGGTTGGCAGGAACAGGGACCGAGCAACGGGAGCTCACCCCATTGCGGGGATTCGAACCGCCGACATTCTGATCGGCAAGTCCTAGGCTCTGTGGTTTAACGCACAGCGCCACCCGTATCCCTTTACATATCATAAATCCCTGCATATTTTACAAAAATACTTTTTTTAAAAAACACAAACCCCCCAAAACCCCAGAGTCCTTTTTGTTGGGGGTAACTCAGATGGAAATTCCCAGGTGTCAGAAAAGGTTATTCATATATGCCACTACTGCGGCTCATGTTTCGTTAGCCCAAAAATGAAAAACGAGCGAAGTCCCGACTAAAGAATATTGGCAACTTAAACTGATGGAACATGTGCAGCTTGCGGACCTAACATATATAGATAAAAGAACAAGAAGAGCATACGTTTACAGAAGATTGGGAAATGTTTATTTGAATATATGAAGGACAATTTTGTTTGTTTGAAAACACTGGCAGCATTAAGATAAATTCAACAGTGTCAATAAGTTTTGATGGATGTAATAATGGAATAACGAATGGTTAGCTTGTATAAAATACGCAGATATTTATGTTGTGCAAAATGAACTGTGGAAAGACAGGAAGGGAAGTCATTGATATTTTAAGGTTCTTTAAGTGAATGTTCTAAAATGTAAAACAGAAAGTGTAATAATAATCACACACACACACATGACATGACTCAATCTTCCCGTTACAGGTTCATAGCTAAGAATGTTATGCGCCTGCAACGCCTGGGCATCACCCACATCCTGAACGCGGCGGAAGGCAAGTCTTTCATGCACGTGAACACCAATGCCGAGTTCTACGAAGGCACAGGCATCACTTATCATGGCATCAAGGCCAACGACACCCAGGAGTTCAACCTCAGCCGCTACTTTGAGGAAGCCGCCGATTTCATCGAGAAGGCGTTGGCACAGAAAGATGGTAAGAGTGTCACATGTCGCAGCTGCAAGAACCTGTTCCTCCGCTATGGGAATGGACGGCTTGTCCTGCTGAACTGCATTCTGCTGCGTTCTGCGGGCCAAGCTACACCACGGCCCTCCCTTGCTGTTTCCCTGTCCTCTGCTTACAGATGCATTTGGTTGCTCTTTGCGTTGCATGGTAGCCTTGAGCGCAAAGGAGGGCGGGCTGGAGAGTCTGAACCAATCCGGTGTCCTGCTTGCTGCATCAGGGAGTTGTAAGTCTAAAAACAGCAGGAGGACACCAGTTTGGGAATGGCTGGTCTGGATCAGTGGCCTCTTAGTCCCTTGTCAATCTGGATTTTTGTGATCATTCTCATCTCCAGGATGTACCGTATTTTTCGCTCTATAAGGCGCACCAGACCACAAGACGCACCTAGTTTTTGGAGGAGGAAAACAAGAAAAAAAATATTCTGAATCTCAGGAGCCAGAACAGCAAGAGGGATCGCTGCACAGTGAAAGCAGCAATCCCTCTTGCTGTTCTGGCTTCTGAGATAGCTGTGCGGCCTGCATTCGCTCCATAAGACGCACACACATTTCCTCTTACTTTTTAGGAGGGAAAAAGTGAGTCTTATAGAGCACAAAATACGGTATGTGTGTGTGCGGAATTTAAGGGACATGAATTGAAGGGAATCAGCTGTAGCATGGGAGGATTAGCAGGAGAAACATGTAAAGTATACCCCATTATTCTCGCCGGGAGTACAGCTTTTGTCTGCTGGCTGAGGATCGCTTTCAGATTGATGGTGGATTCTGATGGTGGATATATTTGAGCTGGGTTGTGCGGGCGGGAGCAGCAACGCTGCTTCTGAATGACAATCGCTGGAAACCACAGGAGGGGAGACAACCCTTCTGCTCAAATTCTGCTTCACGGCTTCCCATATAAGTATCTGGCTTATACCAGTACGCTGGACTCAATGGGCCATTGGCTGCTTCATCATCATCATCATCATCATCATCAATTAATAATTTATTATTTATATCCTGCCCATCTGGCTAGGTTTCTCCAGCCACTCTAGCCAGGTCCCAACAGAATATTTAAAACATCAAACATTAAAATCTTCCCTAAATGGAGTTGCCTTCAGATGTCTACTATTAAGTCAGATAGTTGTTTATTTATTTGACATCTGATGGGAGGGTGTTCCACAGGGCGGGCTCCACTACCGTGAAAGCCCTCTTAGGTTCTTACGAAGTGCAGAGTCGGGCCTTGGCTTTCAACTGCTTGTGGTTTGACAGCCTGTTTAAATCTGCTGTTGCTGATTCATTCATATTTTGAATCCGTGGCGCAGCTGTTTTCAAGTCCCCGGGCAGCTCAGTGGGTACCTCCTCTACATACAGAGTTCTTCCAAACTGGCACTGGTATCTGCTAACCTTCGGCATTCTTTTCTCCCTGTTAGGTTTGAGCTAGACCATGGGTAGGCAAACTAAGGCCTGGGGGCCGAATCCGGCCCAATCGCCTTCTAAATCCGGCCCGCGGACGGTCCAGGAATCAGTATGTTTTTACATGAGTAGAATGTGCCCTTTTATTTAAAGTGCATCTCTGGGTTGTTCGTGGGGCCTGCCTGGTGTTTTTACATGAGTAAAAAGTGTATTTTTATTTAAAATGCATCTCTGGGTTATTTGTGGGGCATAGGAATTCGTTTGTTCCCCACCCCCCAAAATATAGTCCCGCCCCCCCACAAGGTCTGAGGGACAGTGGACCGGCTCCCTGCTGAAAAAATTTGCTGGCCCCTGGGTTATAAATTTGATTGTGTTCACATTTTAAAGCGAATCTAACAACCTTTTTGCTTTCTGAAACAATGTGAGAATCTGGAGGGAACCAGAATTGGGGGCGGGGGGGCGGGCTGGCTTGTGGCATAAGCTTTTGTGAGCTAGTTTCCAGGAAAGATTTATGCCATCATAGTCTTCAAGGGGACACAAGACTCACAGAATCTCATAATTGTAGAGTTGGAAGGGAACCCGACGGTCATCTAGTCCAACCCCCCTTTTTGTGGCTTAACGTCTTCCTATGCGGCCCACATGTGGCTTTGCTCTCATTCCCCCGGAGGCAAAGCTTCTCAAGCCCTCCTCTTCGGGCAATTTCGTAACTGGATCCCACCCGAAAATAGCGACAGCCTGGACAGTTTGTCCCTTTCCCGCACCTTGGGAGGAGATTTTGTTTCCCGAACAAAGAAAGCCAGTTGGACTCTGTGGGCGAGTGAGAGTTCCCTGGAGTTTTGGAATTCTTGTCATTTGTTCTTGCTATTTAAACGTTGCTATTCTGCTCTTCCGCAGCGAGAACCCAGAGCAGCTTACAAAAAAGAAAAGAAAAGTATAAATAGAAAAGTTAATATGTAAATTCACGAACCTGGCCAAGCGCGGCTGCTTTTTTCTTTCTTTCCCCAAAGCCAAACAGTCCTAAAACCTTCTTGTAATGAGGAAAACCTATCCCAATCTCAGTTCATCATCAGGTTTTATCCTGTATTCCTGTCCTGAAAGGGACGTGGCTGGCGCTGTGGGTTAAACCACAGAGCCTAGGACTTGCCGATCAGAAGGTCGGCGGTTCGAATCCCTGCGACGGGGTGAGCTCCTGCTGCTCGGTCCCTGCTGCTGCCAACCTAGCAGTTCGAAAGCACGTCAAAGTGCAAGTAGATAAATAGGTACCGCTCTGGCGGGAAGGTAAACGGCGTTTCTGTGCGCTGCTCTGGTTTGCCAGAAGTGGCTTAGTCATGCTGGCCACATGACCCGGAAGCTGTACGCCGGCTCCCTCGGCCAATAAAGCAAGATGAGCACTGCAACCCCAGAGTCGTCCGCGACTGGACCTAATGGTCAGGGGTCCCTTTACCTTTATTCCTGTCCTGGAGATTACACATCATTTATGAATGTCCCTGTTTAAGACGTCCTAAATCCTGCCTGAATTAATGAAAAGTGAGGGGTTGAGACCCCCATGACTCTCCACCAGCCTGACTCATCTCTGCCTCTTGGCCTCCCTCATCCCACTCTCCTTCTGCTTCTGGACTTCTCTCTGCCACAGACTCACCCTTCTCACTAAGCCCTGTTTCCTCTCCAGCTTCTGACACCTCCTCCTCCCAGCCTGCTCCCTCTGACCACTCATGGTCATCCCACCACCACTCCCTGGGCTCTGAGCCTTCTTCCCTTGGGGGTTCCTCAGTTGGTTGCGCCCACCATTCCTCTGTGTCCAACCTGCCCACAACAGCCAATGTAGATAGACAGTTCTGCACTCGACGGACCAATGGTAGGACTCGGTGTGAGACAGCTTCCTCTGATACCCTATCAAAATGGTGGGTGGCAGATTGTCACCTCCCTTCAGAATCTCTCTTCTGTCTCTCCTCACCCCATTTTCTTTTGCAGCTTGCTAATTTCAGGGTTGTGGGTTCGAGCCCCACATTGGGCCAAAGATTCCTGTATCGCAGCAGGTGGAACTAGATGATTCTCGTGGCCCCTTTCAACTCTACAATTCTGTGATTCTGTGTGTTCCCCCTTAGCATAAGGACTCCATTTTACACATACTCACTCTCTCACTCACTCACTCTCTCTCTCTCTCTCTCTCTCACACACACACACACACACACACACAAACTTGCATATAGCTTCCATGAGCGCCCAGTTGTCACATATCGCGACTACACCGGCTTTTCTCTTCTTCCCCGCCAGTGTGATGTAGTGGTTAAGAGCTATACAGTGGTACCTCAGGTTACATACGCTTCAGGTTACATACGTTTCAGGTTACAGACTCCTCTAACCCAGAAGTAGTGCTTCAGGTTAAGAACTTTGCTTCAGGATAAGAACAGAAATCGGGCTCCGGCGGCACGGCGGCAGCAGCAGGCCCCATTAACTAAAGTGGTGCTTTAGGTTAAGAACAGTTTCAGGTTAAGAACGGACCTCCAGAACGAATTAAGTACTTAACCCGAGGTACCACTGTAGATTTGTAATCTGGTGAACCGGGTTCACGTCTCCGCTCCTCTACATTCAGCTGCTGGGTGAACTTGGGCTAGTCACATTTCTCTGAAGTCTCTCAGCCTCACTCACCTCACAGAGTGTTTGTTGTTGGGGAGGAAGGGAAAGAAGAATGTTAGCCGCTTTGAGACTCCTTCGGGTAGTGATAAAGCGGGATATCAAATCCAAACTCTTCTTCTTCTTCCCCCTTAGGCCGGGTGTTTGTCCACTGCCGCGAAGGCTACAGCCGCTCGCCGACGCTGGTCATCGCTTACCTCATGCTGCGGCAGAACATGGATGTCAAGAGCGCCGTCAGCATCGTCCGGCAGAAGCGGGAGATCGGCCCCAACGATGGCTTCCTCCGGCAGCTGTGCCAGCTCAACGACCGATTGGTGAAGGAAGGCAAGCTGAAGAAGCCGTAACGGCCGCCACCGCTTGCCCTCTCTTGCCGGAACTCCCGTTCGTTGCTTTCGGTTGCCAGCTCCAACTGCCAGGCCGCGCGAGGGAGGCAGGGGTCCCCTTCTGGTTTCTCCTGCTGCCCTGGGTGGCGCCAGAGGGCGCTGCTGCAATATTGAAACGCCCAGCGCCCAGGCGCCGGCTTGTCTCTTGTGTCTTTTCTTTTTTTAGTTTGGAATCCGCCCAATATAACGCGTGTGATTTTGTGTGTGTGATTTTGTTTGGAGTCCCTTTTTGCACCACAGCTGTGAAGGCCTTTGATAAAGTCGAGTGTTCACGTTGCCAGATCACTGCCGGCGCAGATGGTCCTCGCTTGCCGCTCTCTCTTGTGCTGTGCCACCTTGCAGACCCAGTGCCCTCCTCCTCCTCCTCCTCTGGGGGTTACATCTGGAGGGCCTTTTTTCATTTACATGTCAAGGGGCCAAGGGCTATCCCACCCCCTGGCCCAAACCTACCACTTTCACCCCTTGCTAACAGCATGTGCCAAAGGGTGGTAACTTAACAGAGTCAGGTTCCTAGTCCATATGGTCTCTGTGCAGGGTCCACCTGGGCTGCCGACCCTGGGCAAGCAAGCTGGTTAGGTGTTGGGCTCCTGGCTCGAACGCTTGGACCTTGCGAGGTTTTTCGGAGCCCGGAGTCCTACCTGGTTGAGCCCAGCTTGTCATCTGACCCCCACTCGGCTTCTACCCATGTTCCACTGCTTAGCTGTGATTCTATGCACCATCACTCTTGGGTTGTGTTTTTCTATCTCATCCAAATGAGGCTGCAGCAGGCAGAGAAATAGGCTCCTAACGGGAGCAAACCCGGAGCAGATGGGAAGCAGGCAGGAGCGCAGAGCCGGTTGCCTCCACACACACACTTTCCCCACCTTTTTCTTTTAGAGAAGCACCGGCTGCCCCATATCTCCCCCACTCACGCTTGGTCTGACCTCTCGGAGCATTACGAGATGGGGAAGTCGCATTACTGTAAATAGATAGAAACACACTCTCCGCTAACCATGTAATCTTTTTGTATATTCGCTGTGTTTCATATGAGTATCTGGATATATAGAATATATATATATTTGCTTTCGTAGATTTTCACGGGTACAGGAATGCAGGTTTTGGTGTCCTCGGGTGTCTTCCCGTGTAAAAGTTGGGGTGTCTAGGCGACGTTTCGACGAGGTCTCACTCGTCATCTTCAGGCTGGTGTTTTCGGCTTCTTGTTACTGGAACAGAGCTCTGTTCCAGTAACAAGAAGCCGAAAACACCAGCCTGAAGATGACGAGTGAGACCTCGTCGAAACGTCGCCTAGACACCCCAACTTTTACACGGGAAGACACCCGAGGACACCAAAACCTGCAATATATATATATATATATACATAATACACTGATATAATATATATAAAATATGCACACAAGCAATGAAGAAAAGCCATTTGAGAACACGCTATCGAGGCAAGTAGCCTTTTGTATATAGGTCGTTGATAATAGCTGTACTCACGTTTTTTGTGCGTCCAAAGCAGATTTACTATGATTATTATTTAAAGGCGAACGCGGTAGTGGTTTGGGATCCTGTGCCCAGGAATGTGTCGGGTGGCGCACCAGCCGCATGTGGCCACTGACGTCTCGGGAGTCGTAGGACAAAGTCACCAGGTTGTGGCCTCTGCCTAAATGTGTTTGGCGTGAAGGGGTGTGTGTGTCAGTGCTTAGCTATACTCAAAATATGGCGTCTGCTGGTCCGATAAGGCAGTGATGGGGAATCATGTGATCCAGCAGGGCCAGTGAGAAGGGATGATGGGAATTGTAGTCCCGACAACATCCAAAGGGTCACTCCTGCAATCGGGGATATTGGCAATCGGCTTTTTTCTTCTTCTTTTTTTGCCTGGCCTCCAGTGATGGCAATTTTGAAATCTTCCATTGTGGAAGTGAAACGAATGAGCTCAAATAAGCTGATCTGTAAAGATGTGCTCTCTCTCACTCTCTCTTGGCCTCAAGTACGCACAACCTTGTTTTGAGTGTAGGAATGCTCCTTGTTTCTGTTTGATTTGAGCCACGCACCGTATTTTCCCGTGTAGAAGACGACGTTTTCTTTCCTTAATTTTTTGAGTAAAAAATGGTGGCGGGGCCTTCTTTTACACAGGGGGCTGTCTTATGCACAGTTTTCAGCGTGGCGATCAACAACTTGGAGGGCGATTGCGCAAACCGCCGTTCACCACCCCCCACTGAAGCAAAGTCGCTGTTGCTCAATCTGGCCTACCTCGCGGGGATATTGTGACGGTTAAAAAAAACGGGAGTGCCTGCTTTGCTGTTCCTTATTTCCTCCAAAAAGCTCAATCTAACGAAATGCGCTTTTCTCCCGTATGGCTTCCCCCAAGCCTCCTTTGCACTCATAAATATTTGTAGTACCTGTTCTTCCCCTTAGGGCAGGCTTTCTCGAGCTTGGGCCCCCGGATGTTGTTGGACTACAACTCCCATCATCCCTGGCCACTCGTCCTGTTAGCTAGCGATGATGGGAGTTGTAGTCCAACAACATCTGGGGGCCCAAGCTCGAGAAAGGCTGCCTTAGGGCCCAGTGCAGCTTTAGGCTGAAGTAGGAAATAAACCTGGTTGTCTGGGTCTCGGGAGGAATGTTCTAAAAACAGCCAATTCCAAAACAGTACCTTTCGGTGTGTGTTTATGGCCAACAAGTGAAGTCCTAGCTGTTATGAGTGCTAGGGGTAAGTTTTCAAGTTGCACGAGACTAAAGGGAGGCCAAAGCCAGCTTCAATGGAGAAGGGACTCTGGTTCATTTTTAAGCTGGTTTTGGGCTTTCACTCGGTATGTGTGTTTCTTTAGATTTTCTCTCTGGGATCAGGCTTAGCGGCGAAGGGACGTCTTACCCTCCTCGGTCAAGAAGCGATTCATCACTCTGGATAGATACCTGAGTAACCCAGGGGTTTTTTTGTTTTTTGTTTTGCCCTTGTAGCTGCAACTGGGCTGTAGCGGCGCACCCGCTCAAAAGCAATAGTTTGTGGGCAAAGAGAGAGGTTCACGCTCTCTTTTGAACTCAGGTTTGATTCCGTGCAACTTTTATGAGAACGTGTGGCCTTGCTTTATTTATTTATTTATCTTCGCTGCAAGTGGGGCAGCCGGCCCCATCTATATACAGTGCACTGCCCCCTCCCCTGGAAAATCCTGTTGTGACACCCTTGCCTTCAAGATTTCACCCGGAGGCCTGGAATGTGGGAAGGCCCTCGGAAGCACGTGCAGAGTGCGTTTCTGAACACCTGACCTTGGGCTCCATGGGATTTGTTAGAAGTCGGGGCTGCTGGGTTCGAAAGCGCATCTTCCCCGTAGTCTGGAGCCCTGCACACTTAAACAACGACAAAAAACGCCCACTGCCAACTCTCACTGCCTTGTTTCTTGCCAGCCTTTTTAGCGAGGAGTCAAGTCTTTCCCCTTTCAGCCTGGGAGGAGGAAGAGGAGCCTTGGGTTGGTGACAGAGTGCATGCTTTGCATGCCGAAAGTCTCAGGTTCGACACGCCCCCCCCCCCAAATCATCTCCACTTAAAAGTCTCTGTCTGCGGAGAGCTTCTGCCAGTCAGAGCGGACAGCACTGGGCAAGGTGGATCTTCAGTTTGGTGTAAGGTAGTTTTCAAGCGCTTGTCAGGGTGGAGTGCTGTCTCTGGATCGCTTGCAAACTTGCCTACGCCGAGTTAGGATGGAGGGCCCCCATTCTACAGTATATACCGTATTTTTTGCTCTATAAGACTCACTTTTTCCCTCCTAAAAAGTAAGGGGAAAGGTGTGTGCGTCTTATGGAGCAGGCTGCGCAGCTATCCCAGAAGCCAGAACAGCAAGAGGGATTGCTGCTTTCACTGCGCAGCGATCCCTCTTGCTGTTCTGGCTTCTGAGATTCAGAATATTTTTTTTTCTTGTTTTCCTCCTCCAAAAACTAGGTGCATCTTGTGGTCTGGTGCGTCTTATAGAGCGAAAAATACGGTATGCATTTTTATTCAGGAGTCAGCCCGGTTGCCTGAACCAAGTGAGATCTGAGCAAACGCGCATCAGGGTCGGGTTGTGCAGCTGAGGCCCTTTTATGCGCAAGCAAGTCCCTTTTTGAAATCCACGGGACATGCTCTGAGCAAGCCCGGTTCTGTCAGCACGCTGCACCTTGGGGCTTGGCGATGGCTTCCCTGCAGACTGTGTTGACTCCTGTCTGCCGAAGCTCCAAGTGCCTGGATGTTGGAGGGTGTAGCATTCGCCGGGAATGAGCGGTTCAGAATTAATGTATTTGGGGAAGGGGCTACCACAGTGAGAAAAAGTGGAAGGGGCTGAGCGGCCATTGGGCAGTGCCCACCTTGGGTGATGGAGGGGGAAATAAGTTGCCAGAAGGATGTGTGTTGCCATCTTTTGTAAGTTTGATGTGATTGTTGTCTCTTGTGGGAGGAGAGATGACCCACCAGTGTCCAATAAAGTATTTGTGTGGCATTAGACTCCTCTGATGTGTGTCTTTTGTGGGTGTGTAGGGGGAATGTGGGGTTTGCCCGGGACCCCCTCTTCCCCCAAATAGGGGGATGAAAAGAGGGACACCCTATTGCCTCCCCTCCAACATTTCTCAGCCGTAATTTTTATATATATATTATTTTTTACCAACAACCAAAACCCAACAGTGAAACCCCCCAGGCAGCTGATACATTGAGTATACATAATCAATAATAACATATTCAAATCGACCATATGTACAGTTCCATATACATTAACACTCCTCTCTCCACAAGGTTTATTTAACTTACAACATTTTAATTGTCCCAAATTGTTCAAATCTACCCAAATAATTCAATATCTTCTCAAACCAATCCTCCTCTTTCTCACTGACCTTAAACCCTTTCATTCTGTGTATCTTCACAGTTAGATATTCTAAAATTATAATATTCCATTTTTTTCCTCCATTGGTTCACCCCTAGCTCTTTGGCATTTTTCCAATTACTCACTATAACCTGTCTGGCTGCAGTTACCATCAATTTTACCCATTTACATTCCTCTTTTGTTTTTAACTCGGTGCTACTCAGGCTAATAAGAACCATTAATTTAGATATTTCCGCCCTCCTAGCCACAATTTCTGATATTTCTATACCAAACTGTTTCCAAAATTAATTAACTAACGGACAATCCCACCACATATTTCTCAGCCGTAAATAAGGACATCCTTCAGAAAGGGCAAGCGGGACAAATCTAGGATCAAATCGGAAA